AAACATGTATCTGCTCCTCTCTCCTCACCCCACTGAGCAAGTACAACAGTCTACGCACATGGGGGGGATGAAGGAGCTCGCGGTGCTCAGCCTCGGGTCCTTCTGCATTTACTCGGACGCCTCTACGTGAGCCCGGAAGAGGCAGCGGGCCAGCAGTGACTTCGGCCGATCTTACGGTATCATAGAGAGCGGCGTCAGAATTCGTCCCTTCCGGTGTCACACAGCACTCCTTCCGGTAATGTTGCCGCAGCCTCGGCTTCGTAGCGCCTTCACTGCTATCGTTTTGGGCCTCCGCGCAAGGTTTCGTTGCTACTCCCGAGCCGCCATGGCGAAGAGTAAGTTCGAATACGTCCGGGCCTTCGAAGCGGACGATAAGTGTTTGCCCAACTGCTGGATCGTGGTTCGGTTGGACGGACGCTGCTTCCACCGGTAAAGACACGCTTCAACCATTGGCGGCAGCGTGTGGATTTAACAGGCTTGGTTGCCCGGCGACCAGCCAACCAATAGGAATGAGGGTCTGCGCCGGGACCTTGCTCTAGCCTCGGCCACGCGAGTTCAAAGTGGAATCTGTTCCGCGCTCGGCGTTTGGCTTCGCTGACTTCACTTTCGGATACCGTTTCTCAGCCTTTGGCAGCTGCCAGATATTGGACTTAAGTTCCCAGAATTCATCAGTTCATACAGGCATTCCTGGGGATTCTAGGAAGTTCACACATCTGGAAGTTGCCAGGTTTAGGAAACACTGCAAATTTAGTGGCACTGTCGTATGTCCCTGCATGTGTTTAATAGCTTTGGTATCAGGAGGGTGATTATTGGAGATGGTAGCATGAGTCAAATCCTTATCAAACATTCTTTTCTTTTAATTAATTTGTCACTTTTTTGGGAAGAATTCCTTTCCTATAGTTGCTCAGGTCAGAACACCAGACGCTGCTATCCAGAGTTCAAAAGCTTATTAGCACCCAAGGTGAAAGCATTGAATGCAGTCGACCCCTTGCAAGGGGTGCAAAGCTGTTTTATAGTCAGGTATAAACACCTGGTCTGTGCGTGTCTTGTTTTAGAATGTTCAGGTTTTCCTTTCCTAATATGGCCTAATTTCTCACTTTTTAATTGGTATATCTTATCTCTGTTGCTGTGAGCATAATATTATCCTCACTTATCTATGATGACACTTGCTTCTGTGTAATGGCAAAACATTAACTTCCCTTCTAAAATGGCATTGGTTTAGCTTTTTAATGACTACTTTCTAACACTTTGTAATGACAATAAGTTAGATTATGTAAAATTAGATGGATCACTGCTTACTGTATTTTCACATTTATATTCTGCCATTAATTTGCAAGGATTACCAGCAGCTTATAACAAATAAAACAATATATTGCAGTTATACAGATGGCATGCTTTCATCATTCCCCAAATGTTCTTTGGAAAAGCTCTGTTTTTACTAGCTTCCAGAAGATCATTCAGTTGGATGTTGATTTGACCATTGGGAGGTGTGCCTATAATATAGGGACTAAAACTGAAAAACACTGTCTTCGAGCATTTGCCCTTTTAACTTCTTAATAATGGTGGACAGTTAACAGATATGTCAGAGCATGCACCAGATGTGTTAAGTTCAGATGGAGAAGGTAGTACTGAAGGTACCTAGAAGCCAAGCCATATAAGGCTTTATGAGTGAAATCCAGCACTTTGAATTGCACTCAAAAGCCTATGGGCAACCAATGCAGGACCCACAGTATAAATGTTACATGGCTATGATGATTTTCATTTGCCAGCAAGTAGGCAATTGTAGTTTTTGGGTTGCCTTCAACAACAGCCCTAAGCAAAGCATATTGTAGTAATCCAGTCATGGTGATAAGTGCACATCACTGTTGCTAAGGCCTATTGCTCCAAATAGGGCCGCAACTAACTCACTAACTGGGCAAAGCTGCTGTCATAGCCTCCACCTGCTGATCTGTAATAGCCAGGTGTTCAAGAGGACTCAAGCCATAGACTTGTTCCTTGAGACAGAGAGCCAATCCATATTATGACTTGGCAGAGAACCATTCTGAGAAAACACTATTCTGACTTATTTGGCCTCAGCTTCAGTCTGTTTTGTCCCATCCAGTCCTAAAAGCCTTCAGACACTGGGTCAAGATTTCCATGGTATCTCTGCCCAGGCCTGGAATGGAAATGTAGAGCTCTATCATCAACATATTGATGGTATATCACCACGATCTATCTCTGTGCTTTTATGTAGATGTTGAGCAGCAGGGGGGAGAGCATTGAATCATGATGCATCCCGTAAGTCAGCACCTATTGGGTTGACTTTCCTCC